GCGGGCCGGGGAGCGGGCTGCGTCCGCGCTCGCTGCGGCCCGGCCCCTCCGCGTCTTGCTGGGGGTCTGTGCGCCCGGATCCAGAGTAACTGAGGGCTGGCTCCTGGAAGGGCCGCTTCTCCTGGAGCCGTGAGTCGCTGCCACAAATGGAGGTTGTAGCGATGACCAGCGAGAAGTTGTCTGCCCTGGCCGGCTTGGAGGGAAGGAGGCAGGCTTGGAAGCTGCTCTGGTTGCTTTCAGCGACTTGGCTGGATCCTCACGGGCCTGGGGGAGGTAAAGGGCTTCAAGAGTTGTTTCTTTCTTTTTTTTTTTTTTCCCCTCCAAATTGGGAGCCATCATGGAGCTGTAAAGAGAAAACGGCTCCTTTTGGGGTCTCATCTACAAGCTGAACCCCTGTGTTTCAGGACAGCGGTAGCCCGATTTTGGCGCTGCTTTGCAAGTTAAAGAAAATGTAGTGGAGAGGGAGAGGCGGGGCAACTTCTGCTGTATCCTCACGATAGTTAAATCGTAGCTGGGATAAATTGCCGGTGATGTAGACAGGGAAAGGGTTTCTGCACTATTAGCAAAGTGCCAAATGAAAGCTTGTCCTTGTCCCCCCTCCCTGGCTGCCTCCAGCGTATGTACAGGTCCCAGGTAAGGAGGCCTGGGGCTGGTGATCGCCCAAGGCAGCCTTACCCCATGAGAACAGCCTCTCTCCAGCCCCTTCCTGAAAATAAACCTGTCATCTCCTCAGCTCTTGCAGTTTTCAACTTTGGGATCCGTGTTTTAGTTTGGGGAAATAATATAAGTTAGACAAATTTGAGTGTCCAAGATGGTAAATCAAAAAAAAAAAAAAAAACCTCCCAAATAAATTGCACTGTGAGCTTTTTCCCTGTGGCCCATACAGACACGACACACAACCACGCACACAAGTCCTGTGGCATGCGCTGCCTGGGGGAGTCTTCTCTCTTTCCAGGTTCTGGTTATGGCCTGTGGCAGGTCAGTGCTCACTTTGGAAAATCATATTCGGTCTGTTCCCAGCTTCCTCTTGGTACCAGTGAGAGTTGAGTGTGAATTTTTGCCGGTGGTCTCCCTCCAGATTGTCTTCCTTGTTCAAGGTGGCAGCTTCTCCCTCTTCCAGGCACTCTGCCCTCTGTCAGTCTGCTGGATTGGTGTGCCTCAGGGTTCCAAAGTCTTTTTCACCTGGATCTTTCCTTGCATAGGTCTGCTGGGGGGGGGGAGGTGGAGATGCATGGTTTTGGCAGACTTGAATGATGCAGCTTGATTTCCCAGAATGTGTTTGCATTTTTAAAGCAGCTTTTGAGGTGTGGCCTCTCCTCCATGGGGCATCTTGATGAGGACAGCCCCTTTAACGAAGACCCTGTTCTGTAGGCCCCTGGGTAACCTACCACGTCGCAACGAGTCGCCACACCTGTGACTGGAGATAGATTCTTGTCTGATGAGACAGGCACGCGGATGCTCCAGAGGAGCCCGTCCCAAAGCCTGCGGGCGCTGGGCCCTGTCCGCACACTCCTCTGCCCTCCGCCCTCCCGGTTGCCTCCTCCTGGGGGAGGAACCAGTTATCTGAACTCTGGAAATGTGTGGCAAAAGAATTGTCCCTGAAAGGAACTCTTAGGTATCTCCTCAAAGGCTGGAGTTCTTGCCAGTCCACAGAGGAGCCTGTGGAGAGTGCAGTCAGGCTTCATGTTCTGGTCATTTCATGCTCTCCCTGCCGGTTCCCAGAGGTGTGAGGCATACAAGTGACATAGGCTGTGATTTCTGTCTCGGGACCTGGAAAGTAATTCATTTGTTGGAAACTGTGGGGAAGAATGGGTGTCATCTAAAATCTTGGTGTGAGAGGAGAATATTGTGGGGGGAAACTGAATTGGGCTTTTTCCTGTTAGGTAAATGAGCTGAAAGAAAAGGGCAATAAGGCCCTGAGTGCCGGCAACATTGACGACGCACTGAAGTGCTACTCGGAAGCCATTAAGTTGGATCCCCAGAACCATGTGCTCTACAGCAATCGCTCCGCGGCCTATGCCAAGAAGGGGGACTACCAGCGGGCTTACGAGGATGGGTGCAAGACCGTCGACTTGAAGCCGGACTGGGGCAAGGTGAGCTGTGGGCAAGCAGAGGCGCCTCAGACCTGTCGAAGTGTTTGTACTTACTCAGTGGCCTGTGTGCCAGGCATTACCCCAGCTGGCAAGTCTGAGGAGAGCACAAAATGGAAAGATTGTGTCGTTAGGAAGAGGGTGGGCTCTGGCCAGAGCTGATTCCACAGGAAAGCTGCCTCCCCTTGGGGGAAGGCAGGGCTAGCTGTCACAGGCACTCCAGCTTGTGCTGGCCAGGCAGTTCCAGATGATGCGTTTAAGATTTCCGCCTTGGAGAGAGGCTGAAGTGCGGTAAGGTTGGCGTTGAGCCTTGTTGGGACCTGGTGTGAGCCACTCCAATTGTTTCACTTATCCTTCCCCCTTCGATGAGACCTGAAGCGATGGGCCTGAAGCGATTTGATCAGAACTTAAGGCACCTCCACCGCTCCAGCAGCTGCGGTCATTGCCTTGCCGTCGCTGATAAGTTCGTCCGCCCCCTCTCAGCCTCCCTCTTTTGAGCTTGGTCCTTGGAAAATAACATTTTTTCATCAAACCTAAGATACTGTCCAGTGTAAGACATGTCTTATGTATCTTCTCCTCAGTGTTACACCTTAATCTTCTATTTGCGCGTCACGTGAATACTCATTTTATTTCATGAAACGTAAAATAGGTTCTTTTCAGTTCTTCTGGACTTAACTTTAGGCGTTCTTTGTCTTTTATCCGTCTTTGCTGGCTTAAGGGCTATTCAAGAAAAGCAGCAGCTCTTGAGTTCTTAAACCGATTTGAGGAAGCCAAGCGAACCTATGAGGAAGGTTTAAAACACGAAGCAAGTAACCCTCAACTCAAAGAAGGTTTGCAGAACATGGAGGCCCGGTTGGCGGGTAAGCCCCTTGTACACTGCTGTTTCTGTTCGTTATTTTTTAAATGGGATTCGCTTTGAGGGGTTCCTCTCTCCACACCCTGACATTGAATGGGCTGTGGAGCATAGTGACTTGTCGCCCAGTTTCTCCTTTTCTCTGCTCGGAACAGAGAGGAAATTCATGAACCCTTTCAACATGCCCAATTTGTATCAGAAGTTGGAGAATGATCCCAGGACAAAAGTGCTGCTCGGTGACCCTACCTACCGGGAGCTGATAGAGCAGCTTCGAAACAAGCCGTCCGACCTGGGCACGTAAGTGGTGCAGAGCAGGTTTGTCTCCAGAAATGGAGTGGAACGCTGGACATGCTCCCAGAGGTCCTGTGGCAGGAGACTCCATGGCTCAGGCCGTGGGTTTCTGTCATGGCTTTTTCTCCACAGAAAAGTGGGGCTTTTTCTAGAAAGGGCCCTGCTCTTCCCATTTGGATCTAGCAGCCCCTCTCCAAGCGCACACGTCCTCTGTGTCTGCGATTGTGGAGGGGGAACTCGGGCCAGGAGAGCGCAGGTGTGTCTTGTGCTGGTGGCTGTGGCTTTGCATCCCTCTGGCTGTGGAGCTCAGCTGAAGTAGTCCTGTAGCTGTACCTCTGCTGGCCTCAGGAAATAAAGAGGGACTCTGTGACCTCATAGTACATGGAATTCTGAAGGTTTGTGTGTTCCCTAGTGGTAACTTGGTAGTGCAGAATCTAGTAATGTTGCTGGATGAGAAGCTCTCACATAGAGTAGTCTGCGCTTTAGCAGTAACTGAGGGTTTACGGTTGGCTATGGCCAAGAATAAATGTTGTTTTCCTTGACCAATACAGGAAACTGCAAGACCCCCGGATTATGACCACTCTCAGCGTCCTGCTGGGAGTGGACCTGGGCAGTATGGATGAGGAGGAAGAAGTTGCCACACCTCCACCTCCACCTCCCCCCAAAAAGGAGACCAAGCCAGAGCCAATGGAAGAAGATCTTCCAGAGAATAAGAAACAGGTCTTTCTTGGCTTTTTTGTCTAGTAGTATGTGTTAATAAACAGCTGTGGTCAGCCAGAAACGTGTATGCCAGCCAGCAACAGCCACGGACCTGGTGGTGAATTTGAGTGCTCAGTGGGTGCTAACCTCGTTGTTCATTGAAACAGTCATTGTGTTGAAAGGTCCACTTCACAAGTGAGGGTCATAGGAGCTGCAGCTCACAAAGGCTTTGAGGCTGCTTCCCTGTCCCCAGCTGCCAGGGTTCTCTAACACAAGCGACTGCTGTTCAGGGTGAGCCAATAAAGTAGTGAGTGGCCCTTGCCACGATGCAGAGAAGTCTCCCTTGGTCCTTATTTCACGTCCTGGTTGGACTGCTGTGTCACTGAAGGCTGTCCTCTTAGCACTGCCACCGAGCAGGGCCCAAGTGGACCCTTCTTGTAAATGGAGGCAGCAGATCTCTGCCAAATCCAGCACCTGCCATGGTGCCACGCGCTAGTTGCTCAGGGTGGCTCTGAGCTGGGAAAGGCCGTCCCACGCGTGCTTGTGCTCTGCTGGGGCCGCGTGCATTCGCTCGGCTCACTCCCCTGGTACCTGACTGTTGTGCCTGTTGAAGGGACTCTCCACCCCCCAGAAGCTGTACTTGCTGACAGATACAGAGAGTAGTTAAAAAGTGGGCGCTTCAGCGGAAGTGGAGATAAAACTCACCTCGTAGTTTTTCACTCTTTAACGGCTGGTGTATCACCATTTTTTTTTTTAAGGTGGATTTATTTATACAAAACCTGGGGTACAGGCCAGAGGTTTGGAGGTGGTGGTGAGAGATTTTACCAGAGACAGTGGGGAGCAGAACTGGTGGATTGGCTGAAATACATTGCTTAGGGGGGCAGTGGAGAGACAGGGAGAGGTCTGCTGTGTCGTGTGGGTCACTCCCTGGCCGGGGTTCGATCCCCTGCCACAGTGGCTGTGGCTAGCTAGCCTCATAGTGCTGTGCTTTCCCTTGTATCACCAGGGAGGGCTTCCTCGCCGTTTAAATGAACATGTTGGGGACACAGAGGCCTGTGGGTATGCAGACATTAACTACGATGTGTTGGTTGCACTTGCTGCTCAGTGACAGATCCCATCTCAACTCAATGTTGGGTTAGATTTGCTCAGCGCTCCTTAAAAACCTCTTCTAGGCACTGAAAGAGAAGGAGCTGGGGAATGATGCCTACAAGAAGAAAGACTTCGACACTGCCTTGAAGCACTATGACAAAGCCAGGGGCCTGGACCCCACCAACATGACGTATATAACCAATCAAGCAGGTGAGGCTGAGGACGGGCGGCGGGGGTGGAGGGTGCTGGGGAGGGGTGCCAGCTTGACTCTTTCTAACCATCCTTCCTGGCAGCGGTGTATTTCGAAAAGGGCGACTATGGTAAATGCCGGGAGCTTTGTGAGAAGGCCATTGAGGTGGGGAGAGAAAACCGAGAAGACTATCGACAGATTGCCAAGTACGCGCCATGTCCTGGAATATGTGGGGGGGGGGGTTGCGTGCCAAAGGCCAGGGCAGAGGTTGTGGGGGGGCGGAGGGTCCTGGGCCTGCTGCCTAGCCGCAGGTAACTCCTCTCTGCCTGATCACCTGGTCTGCTCTGTTCTTAGCAAGTACTTTTATCTTTGTCAGAGCTTATGCTCGAATTGGCAACTCCTACTTCAAAGAAGAACAGTACAAGGATGCTGTCCATTTCTACAACAAGTCTCTGGCTGAGCACCGAACCCCAGATGTGCTTAAGAAATGCCAGCAGGTAAGTGGAGAAAGAAGAGTTCTGTTAGTGTTTAATTGCTATTTGTTACTGTCCATGTAACAACAGTACACTTCAAGTCTCTATGTGGTTATTGTAAGTAACAAGCCCGTAGGGAAAGTGAGGAGTCAGGATTCCATGTTGTCACTCAACCAGCTCCGGCTCGTGCCTCCTGCCCATGAAGGCCTGTGTGTACTGAGGGGTCTCACGTAGTCATCACCTGTTTCTGTGAGGCATAGAGAACAGAAATCCATCTTGCCAAGTTCCCCCCTTGAAAATAACACTGCCAATTAGGGCTAATTTGAAAGCCGAGTGTTAATAAGAGTTAAAGCGAATATTCCCTGAGTTACTGTTTCTTAGGCAGAGAAAATTCTGAAGGAGCAGGAGCGGCTGGCCTACATAAACCCTGACCTGGCTTTGGAGGAGAAGAACAAGGGCAATGAGTGTTTCCAGAAAGGTACGTACAGCTCAGATCATGGACTTGCGGGTAGAGAGGTGCAGCTGTGTGTCCCGGCCTCAGCTAACTCCCGCCAGGAGAGGGTAGGCTTCTGCTTTTCTGAAAGGCTTTTTTCCTTACCCAGGGGACTATCCCCAGGCCATGAAGCATTACACAGAAGCCATCAAGCGGAACCCAAGAGATGCCAAATTGTACAGCAATCGTGCCGCCTGCTACACCAAACTCCTGGAGTTTCAGCTGGCGCTCAAGGTGGGCACGTGGGTGTAGTGGTAGGGAGTACCCCGGACATGGGCTCCTATTTCCTCCCCGGCCTCCTCTGTCGGCCTTGTAACATCTTACGTCCAGGTCATTCGCGTTGAGCCCACGCGTGTGGTGTAGCTCTTCCCAGAGTCTCACCCCCAGCCCTGAGCCCCTGCATTCTCCGCTTCCCACTCCAGGGTTCTCGTGGGAGAAGACCCGTGCCGCTTTGTTCTGCTAGTGTGTGGCTTACTGCATGTAGTTTGTCGTTTTGCGGGTTCTCGTGGCAGGTTTCCCTTCATTGGTGGCCCTTCCCCCTTCGGCAGTGACCATTAAGCTGTTTGTGCCTTTGGGCGCCCCCGGGGGCGCTGCTCTGGGGTGCTTTTCTCTGCCCAGGTTCATACTCGTTTGGCTACGCCCTGGGGTGCTGCTGCACAGCAGTGAGCGCTGCGGACCAGAGGGCACTGTGTGTCATTTTGGGGGGTCTGCTATCTTGGGCTGCACAGCAGCAGTACCTGCCCTCCTCACCAGCTCAGCCGAGAGGGTCTGCTGTCTTCAGTCACATCAGAGGACCTGGTCAGAGACAGTGTCCGACCCTGGGGGCGTCAGTACAGCCCATCTGCGTCCTTACTGGCCAAACTGTGACTCCTCTAGGAGGCAGCCTGGGCCGTTAGGCGGAAAGGTGACCGTTTCGTCCAGAGGCGTTAACCTGCGTCTCGGTTGGCTTTTGTCGGCTGCCACTGCCTTCTGGGTCTGTGTCGGGCCTCCCCTCACAGCCCTTCCCAGCCTACCCCCAGGGACTGCGGGGCCAGTGGCTTTTTGGCGCACGGGCTGGGATATGGTGCTGTGCGCTGTGGGACTGGCATTCCTTGCCTCGCACTTCGCTGTCGCGAAGCTATCTCAGACCAGACGGAGATCCCTGTGTATATTCCCTGGGTCTCTTCAGCACTGTCCACTCACTTGTGCTGACTTACTTGTGAAAGGAAATGATGTATTTACATTTTGATGCTAGGCCTTAACGTTCTTGAACACTCATCTCTTGAAATGACTCCTGATCCTATGACAATATTCTTAGTCTGTAATAATAGCAAGATGAAGGCCTCAGCGCCATCTGTTAGATCCCATTTGTCAAAAAAACATGTTTTGAAGTTGTCAATATCAAGGCCCATGCAGTTCATCTGATTGTCAGGTCATCTTTAGTTTCTCAGTCTAGAAATTTCTACCTTCTGGGTTTTTAGTGAACAGCAGCCTTTTGAAGAGCTTAGGCTCTTAACTCGGTGTGGGGTGGTCGCACACATCAGTGTTTAGCTTGTCCTCTGCCCTCCCCCTACTGGCTCCGCTCTTAATTGCAGCCACCAGAATTAACAGAAGCTTTGGGGACAAAAAGTAGAAGAGTCTGGGGGCCTCTCTAGTGGCACAAGGGGCTAAAGTGCAGCACTCTGAAGCTATCAGCCACCTCACAAGTTCAATCCCTAGCCAGGGAGTGACCCACATGGCACAGCAGACCTCTCCTGTTCCCCTCAGCAGTCAGTGTGTTTCAGTAGATCTGCCTGTTCTGCTCCCCACTCTGTCTCTGGCAAATCCTCTCACCCCCACAGCTCTGACAGCTCTGGCCTATACCCCAGCTCTTACATGCATAAATAAATCTTTTTTTTTTTTTTTAAGATACTGTAACAGCCAGGTGAAGTTACGTTCTTTGTAGTCATGACAGTGTGCCCTACTGATCCTCATCTGGGATGAGCCTGATTCCTTTTTTTCTCCTTCCTAGGACTGTGAGGAGTGTATCCAGCTAGAGCCAACCTTCAGTAAGTGCCTTTCTGCTGCCTCCCATGTCCTTTGAATCTGGCCAAAAGGTTGAGGGGAGAGGGCAGGCGCTTTGGTCTGCCTGTGTGTCTGGGGCCCTGGTGCTGAGGACCCAGCACTGCGGGCGTTGAAGGGTGTTGAGCTGAAGAGGTAGAAGAAGCAGCCTTCGGAGCTGCAGTTGGGGTAACGCCTGCCTTGCTCTGCCCACAGTCAAGGGCTACACGCGGAAAGCAGCTGCCCTGGAGGCCATGAAGGACTACACAAAATCCATGGACGTGTATCAGAAGGCGCTCGACCTGGACTCCAACTGTAAGGTGGGCACTTACCCTGCTCCCTCCTTTCTCATGTCTGTTGCTCACCCTTCACCGGGGCCTTGTTGACTGGGGCTTGCTGGCCAGAGGTGGCTCACTCCCCTGGGGTTCGCTGCAATGCAGGAGGCGGCCGAGGGCTACCAGCGCTGTATGATGGCCCAGTACAACCGACATGATAGCCCTGAGGACGTGAAGCGACGTGCCATGGCCGACCCTGAGGTGCAGCAGATAATGAGTGACCCGGCCATGCGGCTCATTCTGGAACAGATGCAGAAGGACCCCCAGGCACTCAGCGAGTGAGTAGGGGAGGGAAGGCGGGCGCGGAGTAAAGGGAGGCACTGGTCCCGAGCTGGGGGTGCCTCATGGGCATGTTCGTCTTGACCGCTTTGACGGATCATTCTGGAAGACCAGCTTTGCTGGGACAGAGGGCTCCGCTTGAAGCTGTGCCTGTGGCGTGGACACAGCAGGGCCGGAGAGAGCTGGCCGTGTGCAGAGCAGGCCCAGGTAGTTCTCAGCCACCATGGGCTGGTGCCGGCCAGGGGGTCTATTAGGTGTTTCTCTGAGAACAAGGAAGACTCTGAGGTGCTAAGTATCGTTTTAAATAATCTTGCCTTTTCTTCATTAGACACTTAAAGAACCCTGTAATAGCACAGAAGATCCAGAAGCTGATGGATGTGGGTCTGATCGCTATTCGGTGATGACTTGCTCATCACCCCCCTTCCCTGCACCCTCATGTGGAAAGAGGAGCTGGGACCGCAACGAGCAGCACGACCAGAAGGGGGAGAGGGGAAAAGCCACCAACCTAAATCTATATTTATACAGACCTCCGTGGAAGAATCAGAGACTTGTACTCACATTATTCGTACAGCCGCTGCCTCTGGGCCTCCCAGCACACGCATGGTCTCCGCCACCCTTGAGTTCCGAGTCCCCTTCCCCTCAGTCGCTGTCTCAGCTGCTCTCCCATAGTCGGTTATTTTTTATTTGGGTCAGTGGGCACGAATGGGGAGGGAAGGGTGCCCTCCCGGCCTCAGGTCCCACCTGTCTTCACGTTGTTAACGCCACGTCTCCAATAAAACAAGCCAGTTGGGCGTGGTTATATGTTACTGTGTCCTCGTGATTGTTTTTCCCCCCAAAAGACTTCAGAGTGACTGGATTGGAAAAGGTGTGACGGAACTGACAGGCTGACAGCCACACCCTCTCACCTTGTGGGTGTTTGCCCTTCTAAGGGGCTGGTCTTGGGGCCAGGGCGTAGTTCCCGGCCCATGCCAAGCAGTCACTAGGTGGCGCTGTCACCCGGCGACCAGCTGGAAGGGCAGGGGCTTCCCACAACCTTAGCATCCCCTTGGGTCCTGGTGACGGCTGCTGCCCTCGGCTCCACCCTCATCAACCACGCGCACTGGGGCCAGACAACATGGCTCTGCCCGAGCCAAGCATGCTGCCTGCTGGAGAGGGGCCCAGAGCCCCCCGTGGGAGGTGTCAGCTGCTATGTCCCTTTTCAGAGAATTCACTGCTCTTTGACACTTAAAGCTGGGTGTGCTTGTACTTTTCCATGGTTGCAACAAGCTCTGAAACCCTTTCCTAGCACTGGGGAGGCTGCTAGGCAGGAGCGCAACTTCCTCATCTGGGCCTGAGTGCTCAGCTAGGAAGCGCCGCACTTCCTGCAGAAGCTGGCTTTACCCTAGGAGTCCCCCGCAGGCCCTCCCCAGGCAGCGCCCCCAGGGAAGCTGCACACCTGTGGCCCAAATTGATGCCCTCTGGAAAGGCCAACCCGCTGGGGCAGGCAGAGCACAGAGGACCTTTCCTTGAAGCTCATATCCCAGTGCAGGCAGGGACCTCCCAAGGTGACAATTGAGTGGACGTTAAGTGTGAGCCTTGGTGCTGGGGAGGTGCTTTGCAGGAGGCTTGAGTGTTGAGGTCTTGAGTCCTGTGAGCCTATTTCTGTTCAGTAGTTCCCTGGGCAGATCTCAGGGTTACAAGGTTGGATCTAGAGATCCTCAGTGGGGCCACAAAAGATTCCAGTCTCCAAGGGACCACTTGGTGGTGATGAACAGCCCAGATACGGTGCCTCGACCTGCCAGCCTCCGGGGCCTCCGGCCGAGCCTCCATAGCTCTACCTGAGGCGCTTCTGCCCGAAGGCCCTGCCCACTGTTGCACATAACAGGGGTGGGATATGGCTTCAGGCAGAGGTCTAGGTCCCAGACCAACTTACTAGCTGGGCCAAGCTTCCCTCCAAACGCTGGGACCCTTTGGGTGGCATAGGGTCCCGGTGCCACAGCCTCCTCCCTGGTTTCACGTGCTCGCTGGGAGGAAGGCCGGCTAGAACTGCAGCACCCGCAGCTTACTTCCGCTGGGGAGGGGCTAAGTTCATTAGGGCTGTGCTCAAAAGGAAGCACCAGAGAGTGGGGGAGGCAGCACCCGCCTGGCCCCTGGAGGTGCAGGTGGCTTAGAGAGCAGCCGGAGGGGCCGGCACCCCAGCTCCCCACCTGCAACCCTTGCAAGCAAGGTAAGCTGGGCTGGAAGCTGACGGCCCACGGGTGCCCTCCTGCAGCCCCGCTGCCTAGCGGCTCTCCCTGCGGCAGCATGGACACCCCACTGCCGGGAGTGGCTTTGGCTGGTGTGGATGAGCTTTGGGCTGGGATTGGAACTACTTTACGGTCCAATTGCACACCCATTTCCAGGGCGGGTGGCTGCCAGTGTGGACTTGGGGTGAGCGCTGGGCTGGGGAAATAGGCAGAGTTTGTGCCAGCTCTGGCAATGAATAGGGTGATCTCTGGGGTCCCCTCCAACTCTGCTGGGTCTCAGCGCCCCTGGTGAGAGATGGGAGCGGGCTGGAGGACGTGGCTCTGTGGGGCTTTCGGCTCAACCATCTGTGATGTTGAGGTTTGAGGTTTGCCTGAAACAACGTGGCACCCGTGTCTTGCTGCTACACAAGCAGGCCTCTGGGCTCAGGCCCAGCCTCCGGCCTGTCCTGGCACCGTGCGGCCGGCCAGACCTGCCCCTGACCGCCTGGCCTCCTGCCTCCCTCCCTGCAGGCCCCTGCAGCCATGGCAGGCATGAAGACCGCCTCCGGGAACTACATCGACACATCCTGGGAGCTGAGGGTATTCGTGGGAGAGGAGGATCCTGAGGCCGAGTCAGTCACCCTCCGGGTCACCGGGGAGTCACACATTGGTGGGGTACTCCTGAAGATCGTGGAGGCCATCAGTGAGTGCCCACTAGCCCCACTGCTGACCTCAGCACCACGAGACCACTATAGCCTACCAGTTCCTGGGCACTTCCGGGCCAGGCCCGCTGCTCAGCCCATGATAACAGTGTGGGCGCTCAGGCACCAGCTTAATCATTTATTTCCCAAAAAGACATATCCTCAGACTTCCCCTCTCTCCCTCCCTTCCTCACTCCAGCTGGTCCCCCTAGTTCCCAGGAGCTCCCGCACGCACCCTCTTCAGGGTCAGTAGAGTCTTGTGTGGGCATACAGAGGTCGCATTCTGGGGATCTGAGGGGAGATTAGAGGAGACTCCTAGGGCCTGCACCCACATTCCCTCCCCCAGGCGGAAGCAGTGGGCAGGGTGGTGACAGGCTTGCTCTGGATGGGAGGGCCCTGCCCCCACAGGAAGTTGCAGCATGCGGCCTGTGGTATCAGTTGTGGAAAACAGGATAAGAGGCAAGGGGGCTTCTTGTGGCCCTGCCCTGGGGGCGGTGGCTGCTCCTTCCTGGGAGAACAGCAGGCACACCCTGATAGCAAGGAAGGCAGCCCCAGATAGTTCCAGTTGGGGGCCTCCTGGGGTGGAGGTGGGCAGGTTTTCTGAGATCAGCCAACTTCCACGTGTACTCCAGGAAGGACACCAGTCGGTCAGTAGACAGGCTGGGGCCCCAGGACAGCCTAGCCACAAAGCTGAAGTGAGGGGAGCTTCCAAAGGGGAGGGCTAAGGAAAGCAGAAGTGGGGAGCTCAGGGTTCCTGAGAAGACTGGGATCAGGCTGAGGCTCGGGCAGGCCCCCAGGGGGACCTGGTTAACTCCAGGGCAACACAGGAGCCTAAGCAAGAAATCGAGCAGACCCTGCACCCAGCTGGCCAAGCAGATGTCCCAGGAGGTGCCACATAATGGGAGTCCTGAGAGGATTTACCACGAGTCCTGAGGCGGGGTGTAGAGGAGGTTCCGAATTGGGGCTTCGAATTCCCAGGGGACTCCTAGAGCGGGAAGAGAAAGGAGGCTGGGCTGTGGCCACAGGCCTTGGGACACTCTGGAGCTGGACAACAGCCTCTGGCTCTCAAGAGGAGACAGGCCTGGCCTAGCATTGCCGCAGGTTCCTGAGGTTGGGCTAGGGGGTTCCCCACCAGAGGCAGCACCTGAGGGTGGCAGCGGCTGGGCCTGGTGACGGAGCCTGGACTTGGAGGTGGGTTGACACAGGTATTAGCAGCGGTGGTCACTTGTTGGAAGCTGGCAGGAGGCACTGGAGCCAGGACGCCAAGCACCAGATGTAGAGGAAGAGCTAGTGGGGAGGGGGGGTCACCCCGCCCTAGTCATGGGCACTGTAGGAGAACAAGACAAGGAGTTGTAGCAGTTGTACCCCCGAGCAGCTCATGCCTGCCGAGCAAGGGTCTCTGGGCAGAATGAAGCTGGAGATCGAGTCCCCTTGGCTGGTGGCTGGTGGGTTTCTGGCCTGGCACTCGGGGCAGGGTCTGGGTATGTGGGCGTGTTTGGGTCTCACTGCAGGAGGTGAAGCTGCAGATGAGGTGAGGCCCCAGCAAGGAGATGAGGATCCCCGAGGGAACCAGGAAAGGAAGGGGCAGGCCAGGAGAGGAACCGGTGCAGGCCAAAAGCAGACCAGGGTGCCCCTCCCTGCTGGCCTCTGGGCCCTCAGCCTCAGAAGTGAGATGAGGAGCATGTCACTACCACGCGCCACCACGGTGGCCTCCTCTAGGACTCGCTTGCAGCCAGTGGGGTTGACTGACTGCGAGGAACAGGTGGTGTCGGGGACCGGCCCCGTCTCAGGCTGTGGGAGGGCAGAGCAGCAGGGTCTTACGGTGGGGGGCTGCGAGTGGAGGCTCCTAAAAAGGGGGAGAAGGGGAGCAGGCGCCAGGGAGACACGGGAGTCGGAGTTGGGCGCAAGTCTTCCCGCTCATCTTTTGGCAGGTCTTTATTTATACTGTTTAGCCAGAGTTAGTTACAATAATGCATCAGGTCAGTTAATAAGAAATCAGGATTAAAAGTTCTAAAGGAAGAGGGGAACAGTGCATCCTGACACTTTAGGGCCCACTAGACTGTACATCTCCGTGATAACTTTCATGTGGACGGATGTTTAACTGTGACTTCAAAGGATCAGGGTCTGGGAAAGGATGAGCTGTTAGCAAGGGATGTAGGAGTCCTAGGGAAGGAATAAATTGTGCTAGCCGAGTCGTCAGTGAGAGTCTGAAGAAAAGCTAATGGCTAACTTAAGGCTAGCAGAGAGTAGCTAGTGATTGTTTTAGGAAATTAAGAGTAAATTAAGAGGAAGTCACATAGTTATGTATTAAGCAAAACCTGTGTCAATAATGTTAGGAAATTGTCCATGGGTCCTTATGTCCTGGGAGTTATCTAAGATTCACTTTTTGTTTCAAAAGACCAAGGAAGCTTGCCGGCAGTCTTGATGCTGGGGGCGGGGTGGGGGGTGTCTTATCTCTCCAGGAGCTTGCCTTTTGTTTAGCCAATTTTGAAGCCAAGGCAATCCAGTTGCAAAATGATGTTGCTAGAATATTTTTGATATTAGGACTATACAAAAAAGGGAGGTTGTAACTTAAGTCAGCAATGGAAACTCCGTCCAGAATTTGTCAGTCGACAGAAGTTGCATAGCTTGGGTCAAGGTGGGCCGCAGGCCAGGCTGAAAAGACCAAGTTCCCACAGGACCCAGCGAGACCCCTGAATGAAGGACCCCCAGGTTCCAGCCAGGGGCACATGAAGAAACCAGTCCTGCCCTCACGGCATCAGGACCTCAGCACTTTCTGGGCACGAATGTTCTGGATATAAACCAGAGCCAAGAGGAGGGGGTGGGGCCACGAAGCTGGGGTGCAGGCGATGGGAGACCCCCAGATTAGATGCCCGCCTGGCTTCTCCGCCTGAGTGCAGGGCACGGAGGGAGGTGGAGAGCACAGCGCTGGGTGCAGCCCACAGAAGGGGCTTGGCAAGCGGCAGAGGCGCCCCGTGCCCACCTCCCACGGGCAGGCTGGGGGAGGAAGACGGAGAAGCCAGTGTGCCCCGACCTGGCGCACGTGTGTCCAGCTGGACATGGCTCTCGAGTGTGACATGGGTGCTGCTCACACACAGCAGCCGTGTGTGTGAGCCGGGCAGACTGTCTCTGCTCACCCCTAAGAACCAGGAGACTGAGGCCCCACGAGGTTAAGGCGAAGGTCACACAACTAGTGACCTCCTCAGCCCCCAGCATGCCAGACAGGCCAGTTGTGGGGAATGGGGGGACCTGGGTGGTCCTACCTTGAGGGGAGGGAGAGTCCTATGGAGTGCATGAGGTGGGGGCATGAAGCTTAGGGGCTCCCCTGGGAAGCGGTGTGGTGGCTGAGCCCAGGTGGCAAGGCCCCCACAGGCCTGAGGGTGGGGCGGGCTTGGCTGTGGGGACGGAGGAGAGGGAGGAGGGCTGGGCGCTCTGAGGCTGAGGGCCCCCTTTGCCCCCAGACCGTAAGCAGGACTGGTCGGACCACGCCATCTGGTGGGAGCAGAAAAGGCAGTGGCTGCTGCAGACCCACTGGACCCTGGACAAGTACGGCGTCCTGGCCGACGCCCGCCTCTTCTTCGGGCGCCAGCACCGGCCTGTGGTCCTGCGGCTGCCCAATCACCGCGCCCTGCGCCTGCGAGCCAGCTTCTCCCAGCCCCTCTTCCGGGCTGTGGCTGCCATCTGCCGCCTCCTCAGTGAGTCCCCGCCTGCCCCCAGGGTCCCACCAGGTCCCCTCCCCATATGGCCCAGCTACGGCCTCGTCCTTCTGTCCTGGGCCCCAACCCGCCTGCAGCACTGCGGTCTGCGATCAGCCTGCAGGTGCCCGTGGGTGGGGTGCGGGTCTCGGCAGTCCCCACCGCCATGGCCGGCGGCTGGCCGGCGGGTGCTGAGGCCCCGGCTGCTTGCAGGCATCCGGCACCCCGAGGAGCTCTCTCTGCTTCGGGCTCCTGAGAAGAAGAAAAAGAAGAAGGAGAAGGAGCCAGAGGAGGAGGTGTATGACTTGACCAAGGTCGTCCTGGCTGGGGGTGAGCATAGGCTGGGGCCGGGGGGCGCAGGGCCCGGGCCCTGAGCGCGGGCTGGGCCGGCAGGGCTGACCCGGCCGCCCTCCAGGTGTGGCCCCTGTGCTGTACCGGGGGATGCCGGCGCACTTCTCAGACAGCGCCCAGACCGAGGCCTGCTACCACATGCTGAGCCGCCCCCAGCCCCCGCCCGACCCCCTGCTGCTCCAGCGCCTGTCCCGGCCCAGCTCCCTGTTGGACAAGACCCAGCTGCACAGCAGGTGAGGTGCCCGCCAGCCCCGCCCGCCAGCCTGGGTCCCCAGGCGGGGGCCCACACTCCTCCTGTGTGCTCACCCCAAATCCGCACCTCCTGTCCCCAGGCCTTTGCTCTGTGTGTGACCCCGTGCCCCCCGCCAGCCCCGCCAGCCACCGCGCCTGGCTCAGCCCTGCCCCTGTGCTGACAGGTGGCTGGACTCCTCCCGCTGCCTCATGCAGCAGGACATCAAGGAGGGGGACACACTGTGGCTGCGCTTCAAGTACTACAGCTTCTTCGACCTGGACCCCAAGGTGGGCCCCCGCGTCGGCCGGTCTGGGGATGTAGGAACCGGGGGGTTCTGCCTGGCCCATGGCCGGGGGCACAGCGGCCACAGGGGCCACAGGGGGCCACAGGGAGCCCCCCGGCAGGCCCCAGTCCCCCTCTGTCTCCACCTGCCGGCTGTGGGCCTCAGGGGAGCGCCGCACCGTCCTCGCCTCCCCACGCCCCTGTCCAGGGCCCTCCGCGCCAGGAACGTCCCGTGTGGAGATGCAGCACGTCTTAGTGCTCGGTCCTCAGCCACCGGGGATGTGGTTGCCCCCCGCCAGCTCTTATGAATGGCGCTGCTATAACCTAGCTTGAGTGGACAGAGAATTTTCCTTCTCTTGGGTGAATCCCAGAAATAGTCTAGTTGAGCAGCTGGCACTGTTATTTTTACCAATTATTTTCTATTGAATTTGTTGTTCTGAGAGGGCCATAGAGTACAGACAGTCTGAAATACTCCACAGAGGTCACAGACTCCATGCTTCCTCCGGGATTTCCCCTACTGTGACTTAGCCAGGAGACCCTCCTTGGCCTGCCAGGATACAGAACACTCCCGTGGCCCAATTGTCCTGGAAAGACATGTTAAATAATGGGGGAGCATCCTCTCTCTGCCCACAGTAGCCCTCTTTACTCCCGCTATGTGGACTCAGGGGCTGGCCAGCATCACCTCCTGTCTGCCGGAGAACTTCCTTACATGCTTCTTGATGAGTTGATCTATTGGGGGTGAATTCCTTCAGCTTTTGTGTGACTGCAGAGGTTGTAATTTTTTAGAAAATGTATTTTATTTTATGTATATAAGAACTGGGGTACAGCTCAGAGTTACAGGGGTAAAAGGATTCACCAGACAAAGAGTGGGGAGCAGAACAGGTGGATCTACTGAAATCACTTCTGAGGGGAGCAGCAGGGAGCCAGGAGAGGTCTGCTGTGCCCTGTGGGTCACTCCCTGGCTGGGGATCGAACTTGTGTTGCAGTGGCTGCAGATAGATTGATAGTAATGTCTTTAACCCCTGCGCCACCAGAGAGGCCCACCTTTGTATTTTTTTTTAAATTATATTTCTAGTGCAATAAAAATGGCTTTAAGAGTAAATAGTCTGGGGCCTCCCTAGTGGAGAAAGATGTTAAGATGCGGTCCTCCCTGGTGGTGCAGCGGGTTAAAACACAGCACTGAGAAGCTAAAGCCACTTCCTCATGAGTTCGATCCCCACCTGCCCCAGAGGTGACCACATGGCTCGGCAGACCTCTCCTGACACGCCCGCTGCTCCCCTCAGCAGTGTACTTCATCGATCTGCCCACTCTGTCTCTGGTGAATCCTCTCACTCTCCGCATCTCTGGCTTATACCCCAGTTCTGTATGAATAAATAAACCTTTAAAAAAAAAAAAGATGTTAAGATGCACCACTGGAAAGTTATCCACAGCATGAGTTCAATCCCCAGCTAGGGAGGTGACCCACATGGCGCAGCAGACCTCTCCTGTCTCCCCACTGCTCCCCTCAGAAGTGTATTTCAGTCAGTGCACCTGTTCTATCCTTACTCTGTCTGTGGTGAATATTCTCTCACACACACCCCTCCCCCGACCTCTGGCCTACACCCAGCTCATGTATGAATAAATAAATAAATAAATAAATAAAAAGTAGGTAGCCCAAGGAGATTTATTATAATAAACATAATGAAGCAGTCCCCTGGCCACCTCTTCAACTAGATTGGGATTTGGGAGCCCAGATCCCTAGAAATTTGGGTCTGAAGACTTTTATTCTGGGGTTTACTTCTCTGTGACATGCTTATATGTTGCTACTTCTTGATTCTTCCACTTCACACATTATCTATGGACTTTGTTTGAATAATGAAGATTTAAGTGCCTTACCCCAAACACAAACGTTTCTGGGTGACTCTCCAAGTGAGTTATGTTTTTGTTTAAAACAACATGATGATGGCTGAAAATAGTAACACATATAAATAGTGTGCTTAGCTAACCCACAGAGTAAAGATACTTCCTTTCTTGGTCAGATTTTTCCTGCAGTCCACAATTTAAAATTTTTATTTGCTTATTTTTCTACTAATTGTCTGTCTTTGCACTCATTAGAAGAGACCCCCAAGATTCTCTGTACACTGTCTGTGGCTTGCCAGGGGGTCTTTCACAGTGATCACGTCCCTCTAAAACTGCAGCCCAACCACAACATTCTCAAAAGGGTGAATCAAGCGGGGGTCAGTCAGGGTCATTTCCCTCTTAGGACTGTGGGACATTAGGTCACAGATGCGCCGTTCGACTGCCGCCCTGGGCTTTCTCAGCACTGTTTCCGGGGAGTTCCTGTTTCGCCTCCTTGGCTCCTCATTCCTGAATGATTCCCTCATTTCAATGCCGCATATATTCCAGCTGTTTCCTCCACGAGGAAATGTGAGGCTTGAGCAGAAGCGCGGCATGTTCGTCTACCCTCACTGTGCGACTGGTGTGCTTGCTAGAGAATGCCACTCTGGAGACATTTTCCTGACAAATTCCCAAGCCACCTTCCCGTTGTCATCCAATTTTCGGTGTTGTTGTTAAGGAGTCTGATGCTATTTGTATTTTCAATCCTTCCTCAGGGACCCTTCTATTTTTCTTAGAGGACAACTAAGGCATTCAGAATATTTTCCTCATCTCTTCGTGCTCCAGCACCTCTCAGTATGCCCTTTGAGGTTCTTTCTTCACTGGTTGTGCATAGAGCTTTCACATCAGAAACCTGGGACTTAGTTCTGGAAAAATGCCTTACCCAATTTCTTCCTCTTCGCTTTTCCTTTTTCCTGGAACTTAGTGGGTATTAGGCTTCCTGGATTTTGTCAAAGATAGATATGTATCTTATTTTTATCAGATTTTTTTTTTCATTTATGCATACAAGAATTGGGGTACAGGCCAGAGGTATGGAAGGTGAGAGGATTCACCAGAGACAGAGTGGGGAGCAGAACAGGCAGATTTACTGCAACGCACTGCTGAGGGGAGCAGCAGGGAAACTGGAGAGGTCTGCCGTGCCCTGTGGGTCAGCTCCACAGCCAGGGATTGAACTTGTGCTGCAGTGGCTGCAGATAGCTTGATAGTCTTTAACCCCTGCACCACCAAGGAGGCCCTGTTTGTTTTTTTTTTTTTTTAACTGCTTTACTAAGGTCTAACTTACATGCCATAAACGTCACCCATTGTGATTTATTTTAATAAATTTATACAGTTGTGCAATCATTACCACAATCCAGTTTTAGAACATTTTCATCTCCCCAGAACATTCTCTACAGCCCATTTGCAGTCATTCTTCCTCCCACATCCAACCCCAGATATACTTCTTAATGTGGCCTTAATTTGCATTTCCCTGATGGTTAATAAAGCGGAACCCTTTATTATATGGCTACTGACATGTAAAGTTTCTGTTCAAGCTTTTTGCTGATTTTTATATTGAGGTGCTCATCTTTTGCATAATGATTTATAGTAGTTCTTTATATATTCTGTGTATAAGTCCTTTGTCAGATGAATATATATATATATATATATATTTAAGATTTATTTATTTATGCATGCAAGAACTGGGTATGGGCCAGAGATGCAGGGGGTGAGAGGATTCACCAGAGACAGAGTGGGGAGCAGCACAGGCAGATTGACCGAAACACACTGCTGAGGGGGGCAGTGAGGGAGACAGGAGAGGGCTGCTGCCCCAAGGGATCCCTCCCTGGCCGGGGATTGAGCTTGTGCTGCCGTGGCTGTGGACAGCCTCGTAGTGCTGGGACTGATTCCTGTGCACCACCAGCGAGGACCCTGTCAGATTCCTCTACTGTGAATGTTTTCTTGCTCTGTCCTTGGCCTTTTCATTCTTCTAATGATTTATTCTGATTAACAGAAATTCCTAATTTTAATACAATCCTATCTATACATGTTTTCTAATGACTAACACCTTTAAAATCACAAAAATATCCTATTTTTCTCTAAAGGCTTCATTGCATTCTCTTTCATCTTTAAGTCTGCATTTCATCTGGAATTGACCTTTGTTTGTAGTGTGAATAGGTGAGGAAATATGTATGTGTGTGCGCAAGTTTCTGTGTATATTTTAACAAACAAGTAGCCCATGGGCAGCAAGATCGCCTTTGTCCTGTCCTCCAGTCTCCGCTGTCATCCCCAGGCGGTGTGGCCTGTCACCTCCTCCTGATGTCAGGGTAGCTCCTGCTCCCCAGCTCCAGTCTCTCTGCTCACCAGCAAGCTTGTGGGGTCCTGTCCAGAGGGCAGGGATGAGCCGCACACAGAAGTCTCTTCCTTCAGAGCGTTGAGGCTCAGAGCCTGTACTGACTGGTTTGCACAGTCCCCCTGCGCCCTCTGCAGCTCAGCCAACACTGGCTGATGGCAAAGAGGTGCCCTTGCCTGTGTGGGCTGAATGGCTTGGCGGCTGTAAGGCGGTGGGGAGCTGCTGCCCACGTGGGGTCACAGAGGAGCACCCACAGAGAGGCCCGGCGGCTGGGCGCACAGCCCCTGACCCCACAGGCCTCTCCTCCAGACAGACCCGGTGCGGCTGACCCAGCTGTATGAGCAGGCTCGGTGGGACCTGCTGCTGGAGGAGATCGACTGCACGGAGGAAGAGATGATGGTGTTTGCTGCCCTGCAGGTGCCTGGGCCCTGGTGGTGGGTGTGGGCCAGGCCCGGCGGGAGGGCCCGGGGCACTGAGTCCGTGACACCCAGTTCAGGGCACTGTTGGGAGAGGCCACCACCTGCTCAGACCCCCCCCCCCCCGTCCCACTAGTACCATGTCAACAAGCTGTCCCAGAGCGGAGAGGTGAGCGAGCCGGCCAGCACGGACCTGGGGCTGGACGACCTGGACGCAGCCCTGAGCAACCTGGAGGTGAAGCTGGAAGGGTCGGCGCCCACAGACATGCTGGTAAGCAGGGACTCAGGTCGGGAGTCGGGGCGATCAAGTGGGGGCCCAGGGTCCAGACTCCTCTCCTCCCCAGGACAGCCTCACCACCATCCCAGAGCTCAGGGACAACCTCCGCATCTTCCGGTGAGTTTGGGCCCAGTGTGGAGAGTGGGCAGGACTCAGAAGGTGGCCGTTGCAAACCTCCTGACCCCCCTCAGGCCCCGGAAGCTGACCCTAAAGGGGTACCGCCAGCACTGGGTGGTGTTCAAGGAGACCACCCTGTCCTACTACAAGAGCCAGGATGAGGCCCCGGGGGACCCCATTCAGCAGCTCAACCTCAAGGGTGAGTGAGGGCAGCCTGGCCAGGGCAGGGACGGGGCTGGCAGGTGAACGCTCACCTGTTTCCTCCTGGGGATGAAGGAAGATGCCCTGGGCCCAGGGCGGCTGTGCAGGCCGGACCTTGCCCGTGGCCCTCTGAGGCACAGCTCCCAGTCCCGGCCTCCTAGCCCACCCCGCACCCCGCCTTCCCCTCCAGGCTGTGAGGTAGTCCCCGACGTCAATGTCTCAGGCCAGAAGTTCTGCATCAAGCTCCTGGTGCCCTCCCCTGAGGGCATGAGTGAGATCTACCTGAGATGCCAGGATGTGAGTGGGGCCAGCCTGGGCCAGGGCAGGAGCTGGGGCCTGAACCAGGTGTGGCTGGCCGCTCACACCCCGCTGCCCCTCCGCAGGAGCAACAGTATGCGCGCTGGATGGCCGGCTGCCGGCTGGCCTCCAAGGGCCGCACCATGGCGGACAGCAGCTACAGCAGCGAGGTGCAGGCCATCCTGGCCTTCCTGAGCCTGCAGCGGGCAGGCGGTGGGGGCTCAGGCAACCACTCCCAGGGCCCCGATGCCTCCAGCGAGGGCCTCAACCCTTACGGTCTTGTTGCGCCCCGCTTCCAGCGAAAGCTGAAGGCCAAGCAGGTACCAGAGGGAGTGGGTAGCAGGAATGACCCTCGCGTTTAGCTGCCCTTGGCTTCTGGGCCTCCACGGCCTTCTTCTGGAAAGCCGCAGGCTTGTTCCCTCTCCCAGCCACAACCCTGGGGCTGGGTGTGCTGGGCCCACCCGTGGGCAGCTGCCCGTTTCCACCGCAGGCCCAGCTGGGCTCACATCTGCTGAGCACCGAGGAGCCTCTGGCAGCCTTTCCCCTCCCCCAGCCCCAGCCCCGGGGCTCAGGGTCTCGGGCAGCCCCTCAAGAGTGTGGTCCTGCAGCTCACCCCTCGGATCCTGGAAGCCCACCAGAACGTGGCCCAACTCTCGCTGTCCGAGGCCCAGCTGCGTTTCATCCAGGCCTGGCAGTCCCTGCCCGATTTTGGCATCTCCTACGTCACAGTCAGGTATGAGCCACCCCAGCCAGGCTCTGCGATCACCTCCTGCTGGGTGGGTGGCACTGATACCCTCTTCCTAGTCTCACTGTGCTCCCCATACCCTGTACCCCCACAACAAACACAAGGGGCAGAGATCAGATGAGGAGGGCAGGAGACCCAGCCCCAGCTCTGTCACTGTCCCCATCTGGGCCCACGCGCCATTTGCTGTGACAGCAAGTGTTTCCTTTTGAATCTTTCAACATCTGCAAAGAGATAAGCAAAGCAACAGCGGCACTAAAAAAAAGTTACTTAACGCCACTGCGCCAGGGGCTGCGCAGTGCCAGGGCCACTCTGGGACGCACTGACGCGGCCGAGGCCGGGGCCTGAGACCCTGGAGCGCAGGCGCACAGCTCGCTCCCTAGAACTCGGCCACCTGTCTGGGCGGATCCTGAGCCACACCGGGGAGTCCTCCTCACACTCTCCCTGGGGGCCAGGTTCAAGGGCAGCAGGAAGGACGAGATCCTGGGCATCGCCAATAACCGACTGATCCGCATTGACATGGCTGTGGGCGACATGGTCAAGACGTGGCGCTTCAGCAACATGCGCCAGTGGAACGTCAACTGGGACATCCAGCAGGTGGGGCGGGG